AACACCGGTACTTGAAGTCCTTCAGAAATTCTTCAATTCCGTCCTCCATGGTGGCACTACTTCGGAGGCGTGGAGCAAAAGCGCGGTGGTTTTGTTCTTTAAGAAAAGCGACAACGCTCTCTTGCAGAACTACAGACCGATTTCCCTTCTGAGCCGCGTCTACGTGCTGTTTTCGAGAGTCATTACGAATCGTCTCGCACGCAGACTCGACGACTTCCAGCCTCCCGAACAAGCCGGTTTCCGAAAAGGCTTCAGTACCATAGACCACATACATACCCTTCGACAAATTGTACAGAAGTCCGAAGAGTACAATCTGCCACTTTGCCTGGCGTATGTGGACTATGAGAAAGCCTTTGATTCCGTCGAAATTTGGGCGGTGCTACAGTCTCTTCAGCGGTGCCTAGTTGACTGTTGAATATTGAAGTGCTGAAGTGTTTATACAGTAGGGCTACGATGGCTATCCGAGTACAGAACCAGAGTACGAAACCTATCCAACTGCAGAGAGGTGTAAGACAGGGTGATGTTATATCCCCGAAATGTCTACCGCTGCGTTGGAAGACGTTTTCAAGCTACTGGACTGGAAAGGATACGGTATTAACATCAATGGCGAGTACATCACTCACCTTCGATTTGCCGACGATATAGTCCTTATGGCCGAATCGCTGGAGGACCTTAGCACTATGCTCAATGACCTCAATGGTGTCTCCCAACGGATAGATCTTAAGATGAACATGGACAAAACAAAGATCATGCTCAATGTCTATGTCACACCTATGCCGGTAGTTGTTGTGAGCACTATGCTCGAAGTTGTTAACGAGTACGTTTATCTGGGACAAATAGTCCGACTAGGTAAGTAACTTACAGACTGCGAGGTCAATCGACGGATTCAACCCAGCGGGGCAGCGTTCGGGAAATTACGACACATCTTCTCGTCAGGTATACCTCAATCTCTGAAAACTAAAGTGTATAACCAGTGCGTGTTGCCAGTGATGACTTACGGATATGAGACGTGGTCCTTCACCGCTGGCCGTATGAGGACACTCAAGGTCGCTCAGCGAGCTATGGAGAGGGCTATGCTCGGAGTTTTACTGCGTGATAGACTCAGAAATGAGGATATCCACAGTAAAACCAGAGTGACCGACATAGCCGAACGGATTAGTAAGCTGAAGTGGCAATGGGCCGGTCATATAGCTCGAAGAACCGATAACCGATGGGGAAGAAAGGTTCTCGAGTGGCAGCCTCGTACCGGTAGGCGTAGTGTAGGGCGACCCCCCACTAGATGGAGTGACGACCTGGTAAGACATGCAGGAAGTCGATGGATGCAGGTGGCTCAGGACCGTGCTTTGTGGCATTACTTGGGGGAGGCCTATGTTCAGCAGTGGACTTGTGAAGGGCTGTAATGATGATGATGATGAAGTTGAGTATGCCTGTTACACTTAAAAGCGCTACCAAACACACTCATCATCCCAATCCGAAAGATAGACGACGTATCGCTATGCGCTATGACGCCGCCCCAAACGGTATGGGTGTGCGATGTCCACGGGAAAGCCGTATTGCTACAACAAACCCGCTTACCACCGGCTCTAAGATGATATGCCTAGGACACATCTGTTAGCGCGTTCACGTTTACCTCGGACCAATTGCTCGTGAAGCGGCATACACGCCACCACAATAATCCTTTTCAAGTCCCCAATAAGGACTAGTCATTTTGCTACAGTACTAAGAGCAGTCGGTCACCCGACCGCCCCATATAAAGCTTATACAACAAGGAGACCTTCTATAATAATGCTTTTGTATCATAGACCTTATTTTCATAAATCATTAATATATGGGACTTCAACCCACGACCCTACTATTGTAATGCAAATTCATCATAGAGACCTTCTATAGTATTGCTTTTGTATCATAGACCTTACTTTCATAAGTCATTAGTATATAAGACTTCAACCCACGACCCCACTATAGTAATGCAAATTCATCATAGAGATCTCCTATAGTATTGCTTTTGTATTATTAAGTTTATTATCATAAGTCCCTAATATAGAACTAGTCATTGTGCTACAATACTTCAAGCAGTCGGGCTCCCGACCACCCCATATATATGTACAACTACAGGTATGTATCTCCGGCAGCTCCTCCATACAAGACATCTATACATGAACACCTTCCATAACTTAGGAAAATTTTCTTTTATACATGAACTCCTTCCATGACGTTAGACAATTTTTAACAAATTTTCTAATTATCTTATAAATCTTATTTATCTTTATTTTTATAATATTTTCAACTAGTATTTCTATTATTTATCATATTTTAAATACTTTTACAAGTTTTTGAATAAATTCATTTATTCTGAAAGACAAAATTTTGCTTAAATTTACTATAATATTTGTCTAATGTCTGAAGTGTATTTATATTACCTTTATGCTTATTAATGTAATATTTTTGCTTAATATATATATATATATATATATATATATATATATATATATATATATATATATATATATATATATATTTTTTTTTTTTTTGAGACTATTTTTGATGCCCCTTTATATTGAATTTAACTTTTAATAATAATATTGGGCCGTCACACTACCAAGGATGATACGTGTGGCTATTGAAATTAATACCATCTCGTTGTGTGTTTTTGGCAAAAAATTTTGTAGCCACCTTGGGTTATCCGCTTCTATCCGCGATATGTAGGGATATCCGCTTGCAATGAGAATACTTTCAAACTAAGTAATAAACGAATAATAGACTGTGTTTTATGACTCACCGAAATCCCTTACCTGTTTGAGATCCTACATCAATAAAATTAAAACTAAACCCAAGCATACCACTGCAAGACCTCAGGACCATAAACAATAATTAAAAAAGCTGAAGGTACTCCGGGTTTAACAATGACATCCGGATATCAGTCATCTCAGTCCCCCGTGACCATGGGTGCTGGAAAGCGCCCGAAACGTCGGGAGTTAAAAATAAAAGTAATTAAAAGAAAAATAAACGCGATAAAATCCATAAAGTAGTTTTAATCAATTGAAAATTGAGTTAATAAATTTTTTCGTTCCAATATGCTTTTATGGTGACATTTTTGGGAATTAAACGGAATTTAAGTTATTTAGTGTTAAGTGAACTTTGATGCGTGTGTTTTGTAACTAGGTTTTACGGACTAGAATTTATCGGATTTTCGGCATGGAGGCTTCAGCAAAGCGTCGTCTAATGCAAGCGATGGAATGTTCTCTCTGAAGAATCGAACAGAAATTTACTTAATTAAAATGAAAATATTTATTTATTGAATAGTGGCAGTAGACCTTAGGTGTATCAAACAGTACTTCCACAAAACTAGAAACACTTTAATGGAAAATGCGATGTCTATCCTTAAATTGCTTGTCATTGGGATGTAACAACGAACTAAAATATGTACGAACTCTTGCTTCAACACTGGCGTTATGCTATTATAATCTATAATGATTAGTTTAGTAGTAGTTTAGTGGTAGTGGCTGCAAACATCCTACAAGCGCAAAAAACGTCTTGCCATAACTATATATCGTTCACAAAAAACGAAATAAAATTAACTCTTCAACAATTATTCTCATTCTACTATCTCACTGTAAAAATCTATGTGAAAACTTTTTTGATAGCGACGGCGTAAAGTTACGTCTCAAGTCTCTCTCAGAGTAATCATGTATTTTACAACATTTTATCCAATTTTTGATACATCCATCATATTGTTTATATGTAGAATCAGATAAAGAAGATAATATAATTTCTACTGTTCTCGAGAACAAACGTCTCTTAAATAAAGTTTTCCTGAAAGCCTCGCGGTTACTAAGCTCAAGGTGAGCTTAGCTCAAGGTGCGGTGTAGGTTGTGAGGCATGTTTAACCCACTAGTGACCAAAATCAAATAAAAAACGTTTTTAACAAAAACAAATTAACTTTGTTAATCTGGGCAGGACTAGTAAGCATAAAATGAAACAAATTTTTTTTAAATTATTTTTTTATACTTTTTCAGGGATGTACTTTTTTGAGTACAGCGGCCACTTAATGTGAAATTTTCCGAAACATGACTTTTCAACGCAGTGTTTTCTAACACTTCTTACATCCATATCGAAACCTTGCATGGTAAATGACGCACCGTAATTGCTTTTCAAGCTTCCTTGGGTAGTGGACTGAACCTTCTTGAGGCAGTCCTTTGACTGAAGAAGAAGATGGTCTGGCTCTTTTTAGAGTCTCTCTTTTTAGAGTATCTGATAAGATTATGTCGAAGCAAGAGTTGATCTATCCATCCATCTTTGCTCATAACATGTAAACGCCAAGCGTTTAAAACTTCCTTGTCCAACAAGTATGTAAATAAAACCTACCACTACTTTTTGCCAGGAATCCCGATCCTGTATAATGATATGGACTGATCAAGCTCATCGACACCACCCATACTTTTATTGCAGTTTTCAAATAATATTGGAATCCTTACATCGGTTTTCTCTTTTATTTCTGGGCATCATCTTTTTACCGTGCTCATTGGTTTAAAGTAATCATAGTTAGTAGCAAAAATACGCCCCATTGATTGAATTTGGTCATCTGTATGTCGCTAGAGATCTAATTTTGAACATTTTATCTCTGGAATTTGATGCTTCATCGTCATTCACAAGATGAAGATATCTTTTTATTTCACGAAATTTATTCCTCGACATACATAGCTCTTGAAACTAGCGCAACTCTGTCGTCATCCAGTCTTCAAAAAATGCTTTCCGAGGCAATTTGTCTCGACAAAAACAAAATACCAATAAACTTTTTAGGTCCGGTAAATCAAGTTGAAAAGAGTGTCTATTATTTTGATTAGTGTACAAAATACTATTAGATAATATGAGCTGTAATACTTATTCATCCAGTATTTTTTAAAAGATCTGTACAGGATTTTGGTCTTTCAGCTGTTCCTTTATAGCATTCTGTTTATCTTGTTTTTTTCCAGGCTGGAGTTTACTGCCGCTGCTGAATGTTAGGCTTCCGACGAACTCGTTTTACGGCCAATGGTTCTTCCTTCAGCGCGTATAATAACCTCAATATTTCCGGGCACATCTCGTAGCAACGTATATGTCACCATATCTTCATCAGACCCTTTCTCTTCGTCAGTCACGACACTGGAATCAGGTGATATTATCGCCAAATCATATTCACAGTCATCATCACTATCTGCTGTGACTGCTGCAATTGCTTCCTCAAGACCCATAAAGCTATTTGTACCGGAAAACATCTTGCGACTCATTGTTGGTAAACTGAAACAAAGTTGTATTTTTTATCTATTGAAGAAACCAGGACTGAGTACATAGTAAAAATGTTCATCTAAAGTTAGTAATATAACTGTTTCAAATTTGTAACTTATTATACACAAATAATAATAATAAAATATAATAAAAATACTACTCACTTTCACGCTAGTCCAATAACATGAAAATCGGTTGCTCCAATCGGCACATATTTTATAAATACCTTCAATTTGCATGACTCAAAAATTATAAGTCTAGTCTTTCATTTATTAAAATAAGAACTAATAAACCCTTACAGATTTAGTCAATTAATTTTTAAACAACTGTACTCGTTTGAGTACAGCGACAGATAATAGGTTAAAGGAGACAGACAATAAGTAATAAGTCTTTATTTGGTTTTAAATATATTGGCTTATAACCAATTAGTTTTTGGAATACTGGGAAACGGGGTTGCGTAGAGCAGTACGGTACTGTTACGCGCCTTAGTCGACGGCACTAGCGCCTAGTTGAAACTCGAACTCTCGGTACCTTGCGCGTGTTTACTTGAATATTCTGGATATTTCCGTGCCAATTTATATAAATAGGCGCTGCAAGATGCGATCGGGGAAGTATTGAATTTGGCGAGACAAGCGAAGCTTCAGAGCGAAATAAAGTGAATTAGTGTGATGTTTTAATTTGTGTAAAGAAAATTAAAATGTTAATTTAGGTAATTTTATCGACAATTTTTATTGTCACGAACCTCAAGCTCGTAACAGTACTACTAGAATACCTTCTACTCTTTCATTAATAATTTTTGTGATTTTTGTGACCTTTGTTATTAGTAAAAAGTGTGGAAATGCGTAGAAGAATATATTATTTTTCCAAGGAACGGTAAAAGCGTCAGTGGCCTAGGCATCAGGCTAATTTTTCCAAGGCATATATTTATGGCTTTTAGCATTGCGTCTGCTAGAATCTATATCTGGGTAACCGTAGCAAAGAGTTAATTTATTAAATGCCTTATCGTGAAGTTCCCATTTAGTGTCCAAAAATTTCTTAAGAGACATTTGATCTGCTTCATATTTGTCTTTAGTATTTCTATAAGAAGAGAATATAGTTATTGCACGAATTTCCCACCATTTCTATATTTGTCTAAAAATAATATTTAAATGATCGAACTCTATGCTACCCATCTTATTAATACAAGACATTGTAATTAGTAACATTATAAATTCGCAATAATTTCTAATAGAATTTAAATTAATAGCGAAGCACTTTAGAGCCAGAAAAGCTGCCTGTAACTAATTGGTTAATATGCAAGAACTTCTCATAATCTTTCCAGTATCCAAAACAGTTTTTCATGTTACAATAAGCATCGCAACCTGCGGACGATGCATAAGAATATATTTCTAAATCATATTTATCACAGTTTTTTGGATGGAAACGTAAGACCGACATGCTTTTGTGGATATGGTTTATCCACAAAAGCATGTCGGTCTGAAAACTTTTAGGAAGCTTTAAGATTTGTTCAAAACTAGGGTTGTCGAGTCGAGTAAGGAACGATATTTGAATTGTTCAAAACGTTTAGTATATAGCCATAAATATTTAACCGCAGGGCATGTAGACACAAGAAGTCCTAAGAGTGGAGCAAATTCACAAAGTTTACATTTATGTAGTTTAAGGAACATGGAAATATCCACTTTTTTGAATCAGGTAATTTTACCGCCATGTTCTCGGAATCAAAAATAAAACATAAAAAATTACATTGAGTGTATGATTTGAGGCAGCTTTTCTCTTTGTTTACTATGAAACCCAAGCTTTGGGTAAAGTTTGTAGTAAGACTAATATTACTTTTGTACTCTAAAAGCAAACATTCAATACGTTATATACGTTGATGATATACAAAATATATCATCAACGTATATAAATAACAGATATCATTCAATTAATTATAAGAAATTCTATCTCTGGTTTCATTAATTTAGTAAAAACATAAGGTGCTGTACATAAACCGAACTGTAGGCAATTGAATTCAAAAAGCACATCATTATATTTAAAGCGAAGGCATTTTTTATAATATTTATGCATGGATATAAGAAATTAGGCGTCTTTTAAATCTATAGAAGCCATGTAACAGTTTTTGGTTATCAATTTTGATGCTGTTCAGTAATACTCCAACTTAAAATGTCGCGTTTGCGTTGTCTACGGTCACGATACGTTAAGATTCAATATAAATCGCTGCTTCGTTTGGTTTTGGCACTTAAAACACACTGGATATGAATTCGCTTTCTTTGTGTTTGCGGTGGGATATTGCACCAATATCTAGAAGGGTTTTAATTGACTTGTTAAAGTTATGGGCTTCATAGGATGTTTTTGGGGTAAACATTAGGATCACTAGTACGATATAGCGTACTTTTAAATGGTATTTGAAAACCTTTCACGCAAGTTTTTAGTTTTGTTTGAAGTTATTTCAGCCCTTTTATGGGCAAAGTACTGAAGTTGTCCTGTAAATTATACCTCGTCTATGTCCAGCGAGACATCGTCCGCTTGATTGACGGCGGGCAGCGTGAAGTGCTGGCTGCCTGCTGCGGTGCCTCCCGCGAACGCGTCGTTGACCGCTGCCCTCGCTTTGTGTTGTAAATTTGCGGCTGCAATTTGTTGTCTACCTCGCGATGTTGGTTTAGGTAGTTTGAATGGCCAGTGTTGCTGGTGGTACTGAAAGTTGAAGCGGGTAAGTATTGATAGACGAAATTATGAAACCTCTACGTGTTCTTGATTCCATAAAATATTTATTTGTTTCACAAAATTTTTAAAGATACTAGGTATCTGGTGTTTTTAAAATAAACAATAAATATTAGTGCAATAAACATTCGTTTAACAATATTCAAATGAGAAAATGAATATTTTTTATATTAATACCGTGATAATAATTAAAATAATATATTACATACAAATAAACATAAGTCGGTAAACTAGGTATGTGTACAAAATGAGGTAGGACAGATCAACGGTTAGTAAAATATTTTATTAAGGAAGTACTCGAAATTGACCTTTGTTCCTTATCCGATAGCCTCACTTGATCTATGCTAAAGTGCCTATTGTGAATAAAAAAGTACATATAATGTTATTGTGTGCGCGGGAATTTTAAATAACTCGAATGCACATAAATTTTAGTTTTAAACGTGACTTCAAATTCAATAACATAATATATATTTATACGAATATGAATTAACATAATATTACCTATTTTTGAAAGAGATTTAGTAGAGGCTCGTTACACAGTCATTTGAAGAGCAAATATTTACATTAGTACAGTTTTACAAAATTTGACGATAAAATCATTACCGAAGGGTTAAGTTTGTATAATTTATTTGTACAAAAATGTGTCCACTTCATTAAAAAACTGTTGTCTTTGTAAATTAGCTTGTATATAAATAGGTAAATGGAAAGTGTGTAATTTATTACTAAAACAATTATATTAAATAAAATTAAATACTATCAGGAACAATATTATTGGAAGAAAAATTACCTTTATTACTTTCCAATTGTATTGCACATTAGTAATTATATTACTTTCAATTAAAAAAAAACATAAATAATAAAAAAACAGCGAAATCTGATGCTGAGACCATATTTTATACTTTGTTTAAAATGCAGCTTTAAAAGCTTGATCCAAATCTTCAATCAGATCCTCCGTATCTTCCAGCCCCACCGACAATCTAATCAGTGAATCCGTGATTCCAAGTTCAACTCTTTGCTTTTCAGGTACAGATGCGTGGGTCATCACCGACGGCAACTCTGCTAAGCTTTCGTATCTGCCTAAACTTTCGGCTAAGATAAAAACTTTGTGAGAGCTCAAAAATTTTTTAGATTCTTCTAAACCGCCACTGTGTTTAAAACTGAATACGCCCGAATGTCCAGACATCTGCTTTTTTGCTATTTTATGCTGTGGATGAGAGGGAATACCAGGATGTAAGACTTCCGTAACCTTAGGATGGTTTTCAAGCCATTTAGCTATGATGTATGAGGACTTCTGATGTTTTTCCATGCGTAGGGCTAAAGTCTTTAGACTTCTATTGACTAAATAGCAGTCTATTGGTGATGGCACAACTCCCATTGCATTTTGCAAAAATCGAAGTTTCTCTTCCAAAACATCGTCATTTACTACAGCAGCTCCCATTATAACATCTAAATGTCCATTCATGTACTTTGTCAAGGAATAAAGGACTATGTCGGCGCCGAAATCCAACGGCCTCTGTAGGTACGGCATCAAAAATGTATTGTCAACAACAACCAAAATGTTTCTGTGACTTTTTGCAATCGCTACAATAGCTGCAATATCGATTACTTTAAGCAGTGGGTTTGTAGGCGTTTCGATCCAAATCATCTTTGTATTTTCTTTAATGACATCTTTAATGAGCTGAATATTTGTAAAATCAGTAAGAGTAGTCCCAACATTCAGTCTTTCCTCACTATTCTGAATAGACTATTTGTACCCCCATATACATCATCACAAGAAACAATGTGGTTACCACTATTAAGCAATGAAATTACAGTTGTTGTAGCTCCTAAACCTGAAGCAAAAGTTAAAGCATGTTTCCCTCCATCAAGGGCAGCCAGACATTCTTCTAAAGTATTTCTAGTGGGGTTTCCTGATCTACCATATTCAAAACCCGTATGTTCTGCTGGTGCAGGTTGTTTAAATGTAGTAGCAGTTACTATAGGTGGAAAAACTTCTGCAGAGTTCCATTTTCCGGGTCCTGTCCAGCATGAATTGCAATAGTGGTAAAACCGGCTTTTTGTTTCAAGAATCCTTGATTAGCCATTTGGTAATAATTAATGGGAATTAAAAAATTACTTCTTAATGAGTAACTTTATGTAAAATTTCGTATTTTAAAGCTTAACATTTATAAAATAAAAACCAGCCGAAACCAACACCCGACACAACTTTACTACTTAATCTAACGTTCAACCTTCTACGACGAGGAAAATTTTCGGAATCAAGGATTTTTTCAATTAACTATCGCAAAGAATGCGACAGGCGTCGCTTAAAGATTTTACAAGTTTTTGTTTGCCAGTTTCGTCTTAAATCATCATATTGGCGACTGCACCTAGGGCTACAATGGCGACGCCTAGCTGCTTTTGTTTGAACAAAAGTGACGAGTTTCGATTTATAGAGGTCTCTATCAAGGCTGTTTTAACCCCCGACTTTAGAGCTAGTGCAATCGCAGTTGGAGGGTATAAGATAAGTCTTCAAAATACTTTCTTCCACGTCTTTTGCCAACCCTTTAGCAAGTATGTATTGCCACCGATTGGCTATTTTCTTATGGATTGCTGGACCCATTAGGGTCTTGGTCTTAGGTGCATTACCAAGCAAAACCAGTATGTCTTCGTCGAGTTGCTCCTCTAACACCATCGGCTGTGAAGGTTCACTGCCAGCTGAAGTTCCAGATGTTGGATAAATCGGTCTTTCGTCAACCTGCAGTTGCGGTGACTGTGGTGCCATTCTCGGCACCGGCGATCTTTGGGAACGTCGACGGTAGAGAACCAGTTCCTGGAGAACCATTTCCTGACAAGATGGGCATATGTAGGTGAACCTTCCCATTAACCAGAAAAGGAGATTCCGCGCACGACGCTGGTGATAAAGCGTGGCACGTGTTCAGCGGATGCAGCGGTGAATCTGCAGCAAACAGTTCTTATTAGAATGTTTGTAAAAAAAATGTAACAGTATCAACCCAAAATTAACAGTAAGCATCACTTTTTTCGTGACAGAGGTAACCCAAATACGGTATCTCGCATCAAAACTTCATTTTTTTTTAATTAGATCAATAATGACGGTAGTAGCCCAAATTTAGCTGTACGCATCAATGTATTGAATCTTAATTATAAAACTTACCGTATAATTCCTACACAAACAATTAACCTGCTTTTGCAGTTTTAAAAAATTTTGTCTCGATTTCTTTTTCTTCTCATTTTTTGCCGAACATTAGTCAACTTTTGTACAATAAGGCCAGAGAGACGTGCAAAACCTTCAGCATGGAGTTACCTAATGATTCGAATGGGAACACGCGACCCGAGCTATATACACTTCCATATTCAGTGTACATAGCTCTCGTCGTGCATCCACATCCGCAGCTAATAAACACCGAGTCAATATTGAAGTAATAAGAAAAACTGCTGGTTGGTCCGATTCCTCTTCTGTCTTTACAAAGTTTTATAATAAGCAAAAAACAATAGCAGATTCCAATTTGTTGTATACCACAACAATACTTTCTGCCGATTGTATCCTTGTAATCGAAATAAAATTGTATTATTGATTATGAATATTGTAATTAAGCAATAATATAGTAGGTAATATTTAAATGTATATTACATAAATGTGTGATAACTTACCTAAGCAGGTATTATTTCACATTTTATCCTCTAAATATCCTACAGTACGTTAACAATAAATCGCGAAGAATAAAAAGACAAAGCAATAAAAAGAATGAAGCCGTGAAACATAATTGAATTTGAAACGAACTTACCAAGTGAAGTTCGATGATAATTATGTGAACGGCTTAATTCGAAGCGATTTATAGATACCCTCCCTAAGAATGTAAGTAAACTGTTACATAAATAATAAAAACAAAAAACCCTGTCCTAGGTTGTCACTATCACAAAAAATGTGAAATATTTTGAATAGCTTTAAACATAATGATTCGAATGGGAACACGCAACCCGAGCTAGGCAAGGGTGTTGCCAGCATTAATAGGGATGCCATACAAAAAAAATCTTTTAAAAATCCGTGCAAGCCTTAGTACACGGAGGTGCTACTATAATACGTTAACAATAAATCGCTTCGAATGAAGGGTAGGGTAGGTAGGGAAGGTAAGGGTAGTGTTGCCAGCATTAGTAGGGATACCATACAAAAAAATTCTTTTAAAAATCCGTGCAAGCCTAGTATATGGAAGTGCTCCTACAATACGTTAACAATAAATCGCAAAGAATGAAGCCGTGAAACATAATGAAATGAAACGCTTATTTGAAGGTACATTAATGGAGAGTTTTAATCCAATTATAAACCAGTTATCCTTTTATACAGACCGTGAAATTTTAGAGTCAGCTCATTATAAGTTGTTCGGCTAACACATTTTGAACGAAATTTATTATAATGTATGAACGCATTTAATTTGGAACAAATGTTTCTATACGTTAGTGGCAAAAAGTATCGGATCCAGGAGACTTTTTTAAGTTTATGCTCCTTAACCCCTCTAACGGGCTCAAGTTCTATAAAAAAATCTATCCCTGACAAATCTCAAATTATAAATATATAAAAAATATTATTTTTGTCAAAAAAGATATATAAAAATAAGTGAAGCCAGCAAAGAGGACTCAGGACAGCGTTTTGTAGTTCTAAGACGAGGCCTATGTTCTGCAGTGAACTACTGAGAGGAGGCTGTAATATTGATGATGATGATGACTGAGAAGAACCATGTCTTCGTTGAATACGGAATTATTATCATTATAACAACCTATTTGAAGTCCACTACTGAGCATAGGTCACCCTCATAGATTGCATCTTAGGGAATATATTGCCATAGTTACCACGATTGTCGGGGGGGGGGGTGGTAACAGCAGTTATTTACTATTTTCAATTAAATTATGTTTCTAGTGCTTTATTTATGAGGACCAGAGACTGTTTTAATGGTAGGTATTTAATTTTAGTTCTCAGGGTTGACAAAGTATCCGCTTTTTGCTACTGAATTGACCGCAGCCGGTATATACCAACAGGTGGACTCTTTTTTCTTTATTTATTAAATTTAATATAGACAAACATAAAACCCAGAACAATTATTTGTATGTCCTATTTTTTTTTTTCAAAACTTTGAACATTACTAATATACTCTTTAACCAGTCCTCGTAAGCTTAAAATATTTGTGTTAGGAGCAGTTCACGACAGTAATGGAACTTCGGATTAAAACCCTCGACCTTTGAGTTTGGGGTCCACACTCTGCTATCTGTCGCTATAAATACGTGTTACGTATAAAATACGAATCTGTTTCCCCTCATGGCTAAATACTAGGGCACTGCGTTATTTAGCCGACAAAAATCAATATTTCAACCATTTGTGAAAATTCATTAGTTCTTTCTTTTGGATATAAATTAACCTTAATTGCCAACGTAAAGAATAGTTCCCATTTATTTTATGGTTTAAGTTTAAAACTACTTAAACTCAGTTGATTGTAAATTCGTATCATTAAGTTAACTACAAAAAAATATAGTGTGTACTTAGGATGAAGCGCAAACTTTTGATGGAAAATATATAGTTATTTTCTAATAATAAGCACACTGGATTGAGTGACGACCTGGACATGCAGGAAGTCGATGGATGCAGGTGGCCCAGGACCGTACTACCGTACTTTATGGCATTCTTTAGAGGAGGCAAAAGTTCAGTAGTGGACTTGTGAGGGACAGTTATGATGATGATGAATATAATGATGAAAACGAACAAACGTTTTATACAGTTCACCAACACTTAACTATAAATATATTTGATGATATCTCATATTTACTCGAATACTTACACGTTGATTAAAACTACTTTTAAGGATAATGATTTCTTATATTTACGCGAACACTACACATTGAAATAATACTAATTTTTACGGAATTTATCGCGTATATTTAACTTTTTTACCCGACGTTTCGAGAGCTTTACAGCACCCATGGTCACGGGAAGGACTGAGATGTTCAACGTCCAGCTGTCATAGTTAACCGCGGTTACCATAGATTAAAATTTAACTTTTGTTCCGATCTACACAGTATGAACTTATGGTATCATGGAGTCTTGCAGTTGTATGCTTGGGTTGGGATTTAATTTTATTTATTATAGGATCCCAAGCAAATGGTAGCACCCAGCCATCTTCTCTATTGAAATTAGGATGTTTTTTGATTTCAATAGCCTCGCGAATCATCCTTGGAAGGAATCGGTGTTCTTTAGCGAGGATTTGTGGTCTATCAAATCTGATGTAGTGACGGGGGCGATCCTGTACATGTTCACAGACTGCAGACTTGAACAGACAGGGAAGTCTTTTTAGCTTTTATTCAAAACAAAGCGGATGATATGGACTAGGAGAGTTTATCTGCTATATGCCGAAGCTCGTTCTCTGAGGATAAATAATTATATGCAAAAAAGTTATTGTTTGACTCCGGTGCAAGTAAGACCCAGAAAAAATACGACAAGAAAAGGAGCTGGCAAATCAAAGCGTGACATAGATGACATCATCGGTTTTATTAAGCAGGTGGATCCAGAAAAGGTTCCAGTTTTTGTGGCTTGTGAACTTCATAAGTTACCTCCGATTTCCTTCGATCATATCGACGTGACAAACTTACTGAAGAAGCTATTAATTTTAGTGATTTATTAAAAATTTAAGAAAATTACATTGATATAAAGCAGTATAATGAACTGAAACGAGAAGTTGCAGATATGAAAATACATCTATTATTAATAATTTTGAATACACCAACATTAACACGAATTGGGATGCCTATTTATTAGATTCTCACTGTGATAGTGGTACCATTGGATTACCACACATTACATTATCCCCCGAAAATAGCGTCGAGTTAGATTTGTGCGATATTAACAGTCAGCTAAGTCAGGTACCTCAACAACAAAGCTCACTTACTTCACCTCAAGAGCAAAGCGGACACGTGGAGGCTAATACTGCGGTTTCGCACACTCCTATTATTGCGCGTCACCTGCTGCTCGTCAGCAACAACGCCGGCACAGCAGAAAGCAGCCTTCGCACTGCGGTTTCGAACCTAGTGGCGTATGTTAATAAGCCTGCTAGGGACCCGATCACTTTGACATCTACTAATGTAAACAAGCGATCTTATGTTGATACGGTTAAAGAAAGTGAACGGAAGATATTGAAACCAGACGAGGAATGGACACTTGTGCAAAGAAGAAGATTGAAGAATAGGTTTATAGGGATGAAAGGAAAAGCAAGTACAGAGACTACAGATAATTTTAAAGCAGCCGACATTAAGATCCCATTATTTATCAATAATGTTGACAAAGAGTTACCGTATGATGCAGCCTACATCGCAGGAATCCATCCAGAATTTGACTTTTTCAGTAAGTCTGCGGTTAACACCGGTGACGGATTGTTTAGAGGTCGTACAGTGGTGTTACCATTATGTAGCGTATATCTTTGTTTACATCAGTGTCTATTGTGCAGTGTAACTCATTGCGTTTGGCCGCGATTAAAACTGTTAACACACAACTGGACAGGACAGGACTACGTTATTCATCAACGTATATATGCCCTGCGACTCGTGGAACAATTTAATAGAATTTACAAGCTGTCTCAGTGAAATAAATGCTATAATAGGGTGTAATAATATAGATCCTGTATTTATATTAGGAGATTTTAATGCGCATCCTGGCGAATTGTTTTTTAATGAAATGATTAATTTTTGTATTGAACAAATATGGGATGTAGTGGATTATGACTATTTAAAAAAATATGATACGTTTACATATATAAGTGACTAGCAAACCCGGCGAACTCAGTTTCG